GCTTACCACCAACAGCCACGTGAGGGCATCATCTTGGGAGTGGAACCTTGTAGCCTGAATATTACTTATTCCTCCAAAAAGTGTATGCTAGTCAGGGGGCAAGACAAGGAGTGCCCTGGGAAGAGGGGTGGAGCTTCCTGGGAGATGGAGAGTTAGCTGTGGAGAGTTAGTGTGGCAGTGAGATTGGAATGGAGAAAGGGTGCGTGGAGCCGCAGGGGCAAACTGCAGCATCCCACTGGGTATGGACATGTGATGGGACACTTAAGACTGTGGGCATGGCCCACGAAAGCTGATGGAGACTACAGGCAGGCTTGAATGGCACATGAGTTATGGGAAGCTATTTTGTGTAAGTCATCCCCCCACACCCCCAAAAGTCATAAAATGGTACAAAACCCAAACTAAAAATGTCTTAAGCTAGTCTATGAGCCTTGGGGCCTTGGAGGGCACACATGTGAGCCTCTCAAGAAGGGAAAAGGAAAAAAAAAATTGGCAAAACAATTGGCATAGTCGGCAGGATAGACAAACCATCAGAGTCCAGGAAAAACATGGGGATGTGGGCATGGGAAAGCACCAGGGTTCCAGCAGTGTCTGGTGAGCCAATTGAAAGGGAGCCGGGTTCAGATTCCCAAATCCAGAAGGGTGTAGACAGGTGCCACAAGGAGTCCTGTGAGGTACTGCTGACCCATCTGGGAGAAGCTGGCAGGAACCCAGGGGAGAGGGTGGCCAAACCCCATATGCTTAAAGGAGCTAGCTATGCTCTATTGCATTATACAATGGATCATGAAATATATCATTAGAATGATGCAGGCCATGCAGACACAGACGGAATCAAAGGGAAAAAAATCCCACAGCCATAGCTATGTTGTAAATGTGGGGAAATAGCTCAGTTGCTAAAAAAAACCAGACTCCACCTCCACGTGGATTTGAAAACTTAAGAGATCATAGAGAGCCTGGAAAAAATCTTACAAACAAGAGAGGAACCCAGAGAGGGGACACGGTCGCTTTGCATAATAAAAGATTTGATCAGGGCAGGGGAGGCTGAAAAGGGTAGGGAGATACCAGCAGATTCAGTTCAGCCCTCAGAACTTGAGAGAGAGAGAAAAAAACAGAACATTTTAACTTATGTAAAGTTAGGAGACCAGGGGTCCAAGGAGCCAGGAAAAAAGACAAATAGTAGTGAAAAAAGAAACGACCTAAAAATAAAAGTAGCTAAAGCTGCCCCTCAGATTCAGCCTTTGATACAAAAAGAGAAAAAAGCTAACAGTACTGTATCTAGGAAATACTCCACACTGGATCTGTTAAAACTAGGAAAGAGGGCTGGAGAGATGGCTCAGCAGTTAAGAACACTGGCTGTTCTTGCAGAAGACCCGGCTTCGAATCCCAGCACCCACATGGCAGCTAACAACTGTCCGTAACTCCAGTTCCAGGGGATCCAACAACCTCGTCTATCCTCTGTGGGCATTGCACAACACAGGTGCACTTAACTTCATGGAGACAATGCACGCATACACATAAAATAAAAAATAATGAAATATTAAAAAAAAAAAAACTAGGAAAGACTTACAAGCAAGCAATCAAAGAACCCCTCACCACATGGCTTGTGAGGGTATGGGACATGGGAGCAAATAACATCAGTCTAAGTCCTTCAGAAGCTTCACAACTGAGTTACATAACCACCCAACTGTCCTTGCAACATAGGCTGTTCAACCTAGGCCAATGCAGGGGGGAGCTGTCCTTAATGGGATGGCTGGTACAAGGTATTAAAGACACATGGTCATCACCAATGGAAACTCCCATAATTAACAGGGGCTGGAGGACTATAAAGGAGGGACAGGCATTACTAAGAGACCTAGGTATGAGAAAAGCAATATATGATGCCCAGTTCATTGGGCCAGATAAGACTGTGTTCACCAGAGATATAAAAGAAAGCTTGCTAGGCATGGTAGCGCACGCCTTTAATCCCAGCACTTGGGAGGCAGAGGCAGGCGGATCTCTGTGAGTTCAAGGCCAGCCTGGTCTACATAGTGAGTTCCAGGACAGCTGGGGCTACAGGGAGACCCTGTCTCAAAAAGACAAAAAAAAAAAAAAAAAAAGGCTTAATTCATCTGGGCCCTCAGGAGTTTTAATGGTTTTGCTAAGCCCTTTAACCAGACAAGATCTTTGTAAAGTGAGAGAGGCTTTACCACATCTAAGTGACTCAAACCAGTGTGTAAAACATGTCTGTAGAATAACAGAACAACCTACAAGAGATATAAAAGAAGACCAGACAGAAGAAATGGTCTATGTGGGTCACTTGAAGACAAATATGGCAAGATTTATGTTGGGCCCAAATTCCCAAAATAAAAATGATAGAAAATCAAATTCGTTTCTGGAAGGCTTTAAAACTAGAAGAACAGTTTACAATAAAAATTGTCTCAGGGGTGGTTAAGGATCCCCAAAGATTAAATAAGGTGCATTTCTCTCCTAAAAAAGGCTATGTTAGGGATGGAGGCAGTTTTTTCCACCAGGGCCTCCCCCCAGCAGCCAGGTATGGTCAATGGAGAGACAACAGATATGGCTATAGTCAGGAGGCAGACCCAGGGCCTGCCTGACTCAGGAAACCACAGGTGCAGCGGGGACAAGAAAAACTCCTGCCTCCTTAGCCCAATGGAGGGTCAGGCAACTAGAGCCAGTACCTGTAAGTGTATTAAGGATAAAAGAATACAAAGAGACTCCATGTAAGATCCCCAGAATGCAGAATAACTCCAAAGGGATAACTAAAGATAGTAAACAACCAAATTAATGTCTCTTACCCATCTAACAAAGATTTATGGAAAAAGCAATTAATATGAATGGATAAAACCTTTCCATGCTATGTTAGACCTTGTCTATGATTGATGCAAAATATGATATTAATCTGTGAGTGTTTTACAGATGTGAAACTCATTTGAAAGATACCTGAAGAAACAAAGGCCAGCTATAGCTGTAAGATTCTTGGGAATTACGGAGGCTCCCAAAACGATACAACTGTTAAGAAAAACTATAGTACTAGGGATGAGTTATCCCCTTATGAGCTGTTGGTCAGAGAGAGATCCTAGAGGTCCTCAAATTCACCAAGGCTATTGCCACTAATGTCACCTATACACTAGAAAGGTTGATAAGGCCATGTTGCTGAAGACACTGCATGATGTGAGCATGATGTGAGGAAAAGAAGAGATGGAACTGAGACTAAGCCAAAAACTCCATGCCACTGAATGGATGACATTTATAGTGCCAGAGGGTGCTATGGTAGGGGAAGAAAGGATCCCCTATGATTCTACTCCACAATGGACCCCACATGCTGCACACTATGGACATGCCAAGCAATGCCTGCTAGTGCAATAATGGCTCAACTAACATACGTACAACTAACCAATTTCTAATTGGATAAGGCCTGCTTCTAGGGGTGGAACACGCATCTAGTACGGTAGGCCAGGCCAACCCCGTGTCAGGGAAGGCTAAGACCCCAACGGGGAAGCCATTGCAAGTATACTGTTTAATGAATATACAATATTCAATACAATTAAATACAATGAATTGTATATATGAATGAATTAAATACAATGAATTGTATATATATATATATATATATATGATGAATATGGGATATCTTCTGGGCATTTGTATTTACATTCATGTTTGTTTAGATGCATCTACTTCCTTCCATTTGTCTTCATAGTAGAGGAAACACCACTTAGATAGATCAACGGCCACATCTTGAAGACAGATGATGGGGAGGCCCAAGAGATCACTATCTCACCATGATACAAGAGAGACTGCCCTGCATCCATCACCCCCTCCAAGGCTCAGGGAAATTTGCAGAAGAAATGGCAGAAAGTTTGTAAGAGCTGGAGGAAAGGGGTGGAGAGTAGCCCAAAAATTACTTATTCCTCCAAAAAGTAAGCAAATCAGGGAGCAAGACGAGGAGCACCCTGGGAAGAGGGGCGGAGCTGCCTGGGAGATGGAGAGTTAGCTGTGGAGAGTTAGCAGCGAGATTGGAATGGAGAAAGGGTACGTGGGGCCTCAGGGGCAAACTGCAGCGTCCCACCGGGTATGGACACGTGATGGTACACTTAAGACTGTGGGTATGGCGCACGAAAGCTGATGGAGACTACAGGCAGGCTTGAATGGCACATGGGTTATGGGACGCTGTTTTGTGTAAGTCATCCCCCCACCTCCCAACAGTCATAAAACGGTATAAAACCTGAACTGAAAATGTTTTATGCTAGTCTGTGAGCCTTGGAGTCTTGGAGGGCATGCATGTGAACTTCTCAAAAAGGGAAAAAGAGAAAAGAATTTGGTAAAACAAGACTCCAGCCCAGCAGTGCCTTCTGATGGGACATCAGACTCTCCCAGCCAAACAGCTCCTGTGTGCCTGGCTCACAGAAACCAGGAGAAATAAACATTCTTGTTCTAAGCTACAAGATTTGGGGATAATTTGTGACAGAGTCAAAAATAATGAAGATATCTCAAATATGACAAGTGCTCTCTGATGCTTCTGGGCCTTGCATGGGCTATTCTCTCCTGATATACCTCCTATACTCTGACCTTTCCACAAAACTCCTCTCCACTTTTCAGGGTACAACAGAAATGTCAGTTCTTTAGTGAAACATGTCTGAATGCCATTTCCACTCAGAGCTGGACCTTGCTCTATGACCTTACCAACCCTTCACATGTCTCTAACAGAGTCCCCTCCTATTTGACATTGTCTCAGAGGTCCAAGGAAGTCCCCTCTACTGCCCATCTATCTGGGCAACAAAGGGGTGAGTACCCAGAAGGCTTCCTGAAGGCTTTGTCAAATGGCTAAAGAGAAATTGCTTAGGGTTTTCAGTGGGATGAGTATAAAGAAAGTAGGGATTTTGCAACAAATATTTAAACCCAGAAATCTGCATCTTTTCCTCCAAACAGTGGGAAAGCATAAGGATATTTCATAGTCTCCATCTTACTGTACCCAACAAATTGGGTGCAGGAAGCCAGCTAACCTGGATTAGAGCAAGCACTTTGTCCTGTACAATGGTGGGAGGGTTGTTCTTGGGAGAGATAATTTTGACCAGAACGCTGTCGATGAAGTCTCGGTTGGCCACGAGGATATGGAAGCGGTGGCCACAGTTCTTCACACATGTCTCCAGCACCTGAAGTCAGGGGGGAAGGGGGTGAGAGGTTACTACTCTGGGAGCTGGATAAGACACTGGGAGCTGAAGTGGGCAGCTGAGTTCCCCACCTGTCAGTCATGCTCTGTGATTGTCTTCCTGATGCATCCCCTCCAAAGCCAACCCTCACACATACATACTCATTCTCATACTAATTTAGTCATCCCTGTTCCTGGGGGATAACAACAGCCCTAAGCAGACTGAGAGCTTCCATCCCTGCACAATAATCAGGCAATTAGTTGGTAATTGAGGCACGAGTTGTGCATGAGAAGGATACTGGTCTTTTAATGGGATCAAAATGACTGAGTGTCCCTGAAAATTAGCATTTTAACTCCTCTCTCTAGGCCTCTGGGGTGTGAGACATTAGTCAATGGGACACAGGCTCTGACACAAGAGCGGGCTGCCCTGACAGCTTGAATTGCCTGATTAGTTACTGGCCGTTGTATGTGAGGAAGCAAACACACACACCCCAACACATACTCTAGCTTCTGCTAATAAAATCAGAAATAACAATAGATCTTCAACCATTGACAAATGGTTTGTGGATCCCAGCTGCCAGTTAGTTTTAAGTTTCATCCTTCAGTCAGACCTTGCCCATTCCTTGCTTATCTGGAAGTCTACAGCCTGCTCTGAAAAGCTGGCTTATGGGTTCTGATCAAGTGGCTGGTGTGAGTTGGACTCAACTTTGCTATTCCTCTCTGAATGGCCCAGGACAAGAAGCTCTTTGTCCTTAGCTGGAAAGTGGGAATAATGAGCTGTCCCTTGCAGGACTGTGGGGAGATTAGAGAGGACATGTATAAAGCATTGTCCTCACAGGGTGGATGATGATTAGGACCATGGGATGCCAGTTCCGAAGGCTACTGGGGGAAGTGAGAAGCCTCTTGAGTAGCCCCTTGAGAAGCCCCTTGAGAGTATTGGCAAGGCCTCTCCAGCCTCAAACATAGTTCTTTGGTGCTCTGTCTCTCTTGAAAATAGCCCACAGGATCAACTGACTTTCCAGAGCTACCTCCTCAGGGGCCTGGCTAACAAATGCCTCCTCTGGACAGCACCAGTGACAGGGGACACTTCTGACCACCTTGGTTATTCTTGTGTGACAATGGATTAGCTTATGCAGTTTCTCCCTAGGTGGTTCCTACCATAAGTTTTGTCTTGACAATGAGCAGACATAAAAGGTTCATACTTATGACAGTGACTCAATGCCCGCTACAGACCAGGCACTGTGAGATCCCTCCATATCATACATAATTTCATTCTTTTCTCACAAATACTAATGTCCCTTTAAGTACACCTTGTTATCTTATTTCTCAAAGTAAAGAGGCCTTAGGAAGATGAAGACGCTGACTTAGGTACAAATTATTAGTCAATGCCAGAGGCAGGATGAGAACTCTTTTTCTTCTTTCTTTTGCAGTGTAGGGATTGAACCCAGTACTTTATGCCTGGTTGGCAAGCACTCTATCACAGAACTCCATCCCCAGCCAAGAATGAGAACTCTGTTCACCTTTTCATGAGCCCTGGTCCACTGGCCTACCTGAGGGCACCAAGCCATTCCTCCCCTGAGCTTTCTTCCAAGGAGCCACATCAGTTGTGAGTCCCTCAGAGAGCAGGCCCCAAGTGCTGGATTATCTATCCTCATTTTTCCTTGAACTAACTCTAAAAGGAAGGTATCATCCCATCTGGAGATGACAAAACTGAGGCTCAGAGGCATTATGCTATGTAGCCTAGGAGACCAGAGTTTAAGATACCTCTTGCCAGCCAGGTGTGGTGGCACACGCCTTTAATCCCAGCACTCCAGAGGCAGAGACAGACGGATCTCTGTGAGTTCGAGGCCAGCCTGGTCTCCATAGTGAATCCAGGACAGCTAGGGCTACAGGGAGACCCTGTCTCAAAAAGACCAAAAAAACAAAAAAAAACAAAACAAAACAAAGAAAAGATACCTCTTGCCCAGCAGCTCTGCTTCCCCCAAATCATTCTTTCCTCCTTTCTTTTGCTACACTTCTAAAAGTTCCTTGGTGTACCTAGTAAGATTTCTAAACCCAGAATCTTTGGAGTTTTTGCACAACTGCAAATTTTACTCAGCCGAGGAGTATTTCTCTTTCTTAGCCTCTGCTTGTACCTGATTCTGGGGTGATAGCATTTGGTCTCAGTTACCCATGACGATTACCAAAAAGGACCATGGAGGTTCTTCCTGCCCACAAGCACCTTGCAGATACCCTTTTCTCTAGAGTTTCTATTCCTTCTCCTGACTCAGGCAATGACTGCTGAGTCACTGAGCCCTTACTTCATGAGGGACAGGTAAGGAAGGTCCGTGCAGGAAGCTCAGGGAGCAGGCCTGGGTGGAAAGAATTGGAAACAGTAGATAGCCAACAAGTGGTAGGGCCACCTTGGGCTCTGCTTCCATTTCCAGGAAGACTGTGGACAAGACATGCTTCTCTCCTTTAATTCTCCTGCATAGCAGACCTCAAGGTCAAGGTATCCCATCTCAGCCTTGGCAAACACCCTAGAAGTACATGTACTCAGGGAAGCACAAAGCCTTCATATGTTAGGAGACAGAAAAAATTCTCCTTGGGCTGCTGAGGGTCATTTCAACCTTCCAAAAAGGCTTCTGGCAGATCCGACCTTGTGGGTTCTAGGGCATAAAGTACAGTGGCACCTTCCTGGGATGCAGCCAAAGTCCATCCAAAAGCAAAGTGGGTCTCTAAGCAATCAGGAGCAGATATATGAAACACACATGGGAAGGCTCAAGCAGAGAGCCCCACTGGGTTCTAACTCCACTGGGTAAACACTAACAACCTAGGTAGCAACAGATATGAAGCTGAAAGGGCCAAAAGGAAGAAGTAGGACAGACAGCAACTAACAAGGAAGTGAAATCATCATGGCAGACATAAGGCCACACCAAGTGTGCCAGACATGGCCTGGGCACAAGGCCAATAGCTCTGCATGTCCACAGGCCTCCCAGGGTTTGCAGCCAAGACCTGGCCATCAGGAAGATCAAATGGCAGCTGCCAAGCCATGCTGTGGGAAGGCAAGGAAACACAGTGGCTTTAGAAAGCTTTCTGCTCATGGCAGCTACCACAAAGCTGGCAGTAGAGGGAGAAGAATCAGGCACCAGGAAGAGACCCTGACATTGTCAGAGCTTGTCCCTGGTGACACGTGGCACTAAAAACACTGATTTGTGCTCACTCTGGGCTCTATGAAAGCTATACTTCAAATTTTCAGGAAAAAAAATTAAAGCATTTACCTATTTCTCAACTGACCTTTTCTCCTTCACTAAGCAAATCCCAATTCCCTGGCAGAGAGAGCTCTTCTAATAAGCTTTGGGCTTTACATGAGGAAAAAAAAAAATCATAACAGCTCCTCTGCTTTAAAAGAAACTATGTTATGGTGGTTTTGGATAAATAAACCACTATTTCCCACCTACAGAAGTCGACATGGTGACTTATTAAGAGTTTCTATTAAAAAACTCACTGTGGCCCAGATTTTATAGCATCTGAGAAACTCTTAGCTTTCAAGACTGAAATAGCACCTGAAATCTCCTTTCTAATTCTCTGATATCTTAAGGAAGGGCAAAATCCTTATTTATTCTTCCTGAAAGGACTCACTTGGCTGGCTTTTTCAGAAGCCTTTGTGCCATTTTCAGGTTTTATCCCAAACAAAGACATTTTTATGACAGCAAACCACAGCCTTGGTACCTCAACAGCTGTGAAGACAAAACCCTCTCTGAGCTCCAGTCTCTTCAACTGTATGAGAAGTAGTGAACCCACTTTGGAAGATGGCTGTAACCATCCCTACCAACATCTGAAAAGCATAGTCCTGGGCAAGCGTGTGACAGGTAGAGGTGAACATCTGTATAAACAGGAAACTGACTCCCAACATCTCAAACAGGCTGGGAGTAGGAAAAAAACTGACCTCTGGCCTCTGGTTCCTCTACCCCGGGATTCTGTGGCCTACAGTTCTGTCTATACCTTATCTTCTCTTGGTGTATATCTACCCCACTGAAGTTTACCCCCTGCATCAAAAGAGGCCAGTAGCTGGAAGATGGGCTACATGTTGGAAGGCTGTGAGTAGGCAGAGGGGAGGCCCTGGGAGCAGGGAAAGGCCCGAGTACACATGTCCTGAGCTTCTCCTCCCAGAAAATAATGCTTACCGTCAGGGCCAGCATCACTTCCCTGTAGTTCCGGTTCCCACTGAGCCGCTTCTTCAGAGCTCGAATGGCATCCTTTGGCCTGGTGAAAAAGACAGACACACTATGGTCCTCAGGAGTCTTAGGTCAGGGCACTTGCTGACAGAGTTCGCGCCCACTGTCAACCGGCACAGGGTCAAGGTTATTCTCTGCAGCATGTCTGTAAAGGAGAAAAAAAAAGGAAAACAAAACAAAACAAAACAAAACAAAAACAAAAACAGACCCCAGAATGTCCACCAAGAGGAACAGGTCTAACTGCATCATGGCTTTTATGCAGCTGCCAAAAAGAATAAGGAAATTCCTTACATACCTTTATGGACCAGACTCAAAAGACCTAAGAATGAAAGATGTAGGTATGGCTTTGTATATGTAAGTCAATAAATTTATGAAAAATCACGATTAAAGAGACACAAAAAAAATGCCTTTGACAAAATTCAACATTCCTTCATAATAAAAGCCTAAAGAAACTAGGAGTAGAAGGATCTTATCTCCACAAAACAATGGCTGTTCATGTGAAAATACAGACAACATTGTACTGAGCAGGGGGAAAACAGAAAGCATTTCCTCTAAAATCAGGACTGAGAGAAAGATGTCTACCCTTTCCACTCCCATTCAGAACAGTGCTTTAATTCCCAACGAGGAACAAAGTAGATACAAATAGGAAAGGAAAAAGACAGATTATTCCTATTTGCAAATGATACCATCCTTTATATAAAAGACCTTGAAGACTGCCAGAAAACCCTTAAATCTGATAAACACTTTCAGCAAAGTATCAGAGTACAAAATCAACTTTAAAAATCAGTAGCTTTGTGATAAGCTAACAAAGAGCATGCTAAGAAAGAAATCATGATAATCCCAGTAGCCTTAAAAAAAAAACAAACTTAGAAACATCCCTAACAAGGAAGCATTAAGACCTCTACAATAAAAACTATAAAACACTGAAGAAGAAATTAAAGAGGCACTAGAAGATGGAAAGACCTCCCATGTTTACATATTGTCAGAATTAATATTGTGAAAATGGCTATACTGTCTAAAGTGATCTACAGATTCAATGCAATCACCATCAAAACTCTAATTATAATTCTTTGCAGAAACAAATAGAAGCACAATAGGTCCTGGGTAGCCAAAGCAATTTGGGGGGGGGGGGCACTGCTAGAGGTATCACAAAATCTAAATTCATATGATACTGCAGAGTCATAGCAATAAAAACAGCACAGTACTAATACAATAACACACATAAACCAATGAACTAATAGAGGACCCAGAAAAAAACCACCAGCTACAACCACCTGATTCTTGATAAAGGTATCAAAATATACTGGAAGAAAGCTAGCATCTTCAAAAACTGGACTGAGAAAACAGGATATCCACATGCAGAAAAATCAAACCAGATCTATATCCTACCCAAAAACCAATTCAAAATGGATCAAAGACCTTAAAGCAAAACCTGAAAAGCTGAAACTACTAGAGGATAACTTAGAGAGAACACACTTCAAGATAGAAGCACAGGCAGGGCTTTCTGAAAAGGACTCGAATAGCTCAAGAAATCATTACAAGAGGAGGGGCTGGAAAGATGGCTCAGTGGTTAAGAGCACTGAATGCTACAGCAGAGGACCTGGGTTTGGTTCCCAGCACCCACATGGTGGCTAACAACCAACTTTAACTCCAGTTCCAGGGAATCTAATGCCCTCTTCTGGTCTTTGCAGGCACTTCATGACACTGAGGCACTTATATACATGTACTTATATATACTCATACACTAAAAATAAAATAACTTTAAAAATTTGTTTAAAAAAGGAATTGACAAACAAGACTGCATGAAATTAAAAAGCATCTGCACAGCAGAGAAAACAATCCACAGAGTGAAGGAACAGCCTACAGAAAGGGAGAAAATCTTTGCTAACTATGCATCTGATAGGGGATTAATTAACCTAGAATATATAAACAAATAAAAAAACACTAAAGGTCCAAATCATCCACTGAAAAATAAATAAATAAATTGAACAGCTTTCAAAAGAAGAAATATAGGGGCTGGAAAGATGGCTCAGAGGTTAAGAACACTGGTTGTTCTTGCAGAAGACCCAGGTTCGAATCCCAGCACCTACATGGCAGCTAACAACTGTCCGTAACCCCAGTCCCAGGGGATCCGAGAGCTTCTTCTGACCTCCGTGGGCATTGCACGACATGGGTGCACTTACCTACATGCAGGCAATACACGCATAGACATAAAATAAAAATAATAAAAATAAAAAATAAAAGAACTATAAACAGCAAATAAATGTTTACTATCCCTAGCCATGAGGGAAACACAAATTAAAACTACGATGAGATTCCATCTCATTCAGGATGGCTATTATTAAAAAAATAAGCAGGGCCAGTGAGATGGCTTAAGAAGGCAAAGGGGCTCGCTGCACAAGCTGATGACTAAGTTCAACCCCAGGAACCTGCATAAAGGTGGAAGGAGAGAACCCACTCCACAAAGTTGTCCTCTGACTTCCACATACTCACCATGGAATGTACCCACATGCACCCATCTCTCTCTCTCTCTCTCTCTCTCTCTCTCTCTCTCTCTCTCTCTCTCTCTCTCACACACACACACTTAATAAATTTTAAAAAGAAAAAATAACAAATGCTAGAAAGGATGGGGAGGGAACAGGACTCCTTATTGCTGTGGATAGCTATGTAAATTAGTCTAGCAATTATGGAAATCAGTATGGAGGTTCTTCAGAAACTAAAAACAGAACTTCTGTATGATCCAGCCCTTTGCTGTCACAGTGGCTCCAGCCTACCACTGAAGGGCATGTTGCTGTGTTGTAGTGTTTCCTTGGGCAAATGTTTGAAAATCTGGGGCTCTCACTACTGTAGTTCTAACATGTGTTATGTATCATCACATGAAAGTGAAAGTGTCCTGTCAAGCATGAAGAAGTCAGGGCAGAGGAGGATGCATACTCTGCTAATCAGCTCATTTAGACAGTAACATTATTAGCAAGGTAAGGTTTCTGGAAGAAAGTTTTAGAAATGACTCAAACCAGGGCTGGAGAGATGGCTGAGAAGTTAAGAGCATCTACTGCTCTTGGGGAGGACTTAGGCTCAGTTCCCAGCACCCATATAAGTAGGTCACAATCACCTGTAACTCCAGCTCTGGGTGATTCTACACCTTTGAATTCTTCTAGTACCTGAACTCTTTATGCAAGCCCACACAGAGACACACACATTCACATAATGAGAAGTAAACATTTTTCAAATGACTCAAATCTCCTATTTCCCATCTCCAATTTGCAACATAGTTGCCCTACGGAAACTCTTGGCCCCTGAATCAAAGGGCTGATGGGACAGGAATTGGACCCTAGGCCAGGGTTTTTGCAATATGGGCAGTTTCCCAACAGGAAGGCAGATTTCTATAAAGACAACATTTGAGCAGTAGATGCACTGGGCTAGAGAAAGTCAGCAACTTACTGGCCAAGAGTTTAGACTTACTGCCTCTCTGAAGGCTCTGTCTACCCATAGTCATTCTAGGCTGACAAGGTGTCACCCTCTCTACATAGTCTCTTTCCTTTTTGGAACTTCCATAGTGAGAAAAGCAGGCACTTCCCTAGAGGACCTGTCAACATTCTCAGATTTATAGATACTGAGCAATCAGGCAGTATGCAGGCTTAAGCAGAAATTCCCTCCCAAGGGCTGTGCTGCAGGAAGCATTACCTGAGAGCACAACAGAAGCTCTCTGAGAGGAGCCTCACCATCAGGTCCCAAGAACTACAAAGTCTGAAGGAGCTGCCACAGGTGAAAAGGGAGAGACTGCTGAGTCAAGGGCCATGATGGGGCAGGCAGGGAAGGTGGGGGAAGTGTGAGCTTGTGGAAGACACACCAAACCTTGGGAGCTCTCACTGGGAAGGTCAGGCCCCATAGGGCAGTCCCTGGGGCCTCAAGACCAATTTCTGGACCATTTATATCTTTCTCAGACTCCTGTAAACCCATCTTTCCAGCTGGCTCCCAAACAAGCTTCAAGTTATACCTCCAGCCAGCTTTCACCCTCAGCAATCATTCAGTCTACTGCATTTAGTGGATCCCCCATGTTACTCCAGCTTACAGGCCCCAGCCCAAGAGTCAGTGAATGAGGGAAGGTCTGAGATTGTTATAAAAATGACCCAGGTCAGCAGATTCTCATCAGAGCTGCAGACCAACATCAGATGAGGAGCAATTCTCAAATTCATGGGTCTATGCTCTAATTAGGTAGGCCTAGGGTGAGGCTTCGTGAACAGTCTTAAAATATTTCCAGCATGCTCTTTAGGCAGGCACTTGTGGTTAATAAGCCCACGACTGCCACCTAAGACCTCAGTATCTGCATTCCTCAGGCCAGGGGTGACCTCAGCTCTGGACATGGAGGACAGACCAGGAGAAGCCTCTTGGGCAGCTCACCAATCCATGCCGCTCTTCACGAACATAAGAGAGGCAGTGCTTCAGTGGCTGGATACTGCTGAGGACAGGCCTGCATCCTGCATATCCCTCCTACCATGCTTGAGGCCTTTAGAAAGGGACTAAATCATTCTGTGCCTCAGTTTTTTTCACAGTAAAACAGACTTATAATAACCTTATAGCCCCTACCTTATAAGGTTACTGGGGGAGGGTTGCATGAACAATGTAATCCAGAACCAGGCATGGGGTTTGGCATGAGGCAAGTGCTCAGAGAATGGCAAAGACTGGGCAGGGGAGCCAGTGTTCCCAAGAACTTTCCAAATAACTCACACACAAAGGAAAACAATAAGGATAGCCATGGGTAGGGGAAATTATTAAAGGATAAGCAGCAAGTCTATATATGTAGCATGGTGCTATAGGTTGGATCCAGAGTGTCCTATAAAGGTCCACATGTTGAGAGCTTAGTCCCCAGCCTGCCATGCTACTGGGAGGTAGTGGAACCTTTAGGGGGTAGAGCTTAGTGAGAAGAAGCTAGGGACCCAGTCCCTTCCTGTCTTTGCTTCTTGGCTACCACGAGCTCTTCTGCCACATGTGTTCCTGCTAGGATATGCTACCTCACCACAGGGCCCA